CGCCACCAACGCCCGGCCTCATCTGCCTTTTTATATCAACATTTTACCAATACTCATTCATTCTCATTCTCTCTCTCTCTCTCTCTCTCTCTCTCTCTCTCTCTCTCCCTCCCTCCCCCTCCCCCTCCCTCCTCTCCCCCCTCTCTCTTTCTGAAGTACTGATAATTAACCCAGGGACTAGCAGATGCTAGGCAAGTATTCTCCACTGAGCCATATACTCAGCTTCTCTTTTTCCTTTGAGGCATGGTCTCACTAAATTAAGTTCCCCAAATTGGCTTTGATGAATTCACTCTGTATCAGAGACTGGCCTCCAACTTCCTGTCAGAGGTCCCACAGTTGTTTGAACTAAGGCTTGCACCCAATGATGTGGCATCAATATTCTTCTCAATTGTTCTGTGGCTGCATACATAATAAACATATTTTGGGGGCTGGAAAAATGGTCTACCAGAAGACCAAGGCTTGATTCCCAGTACCAGCATGTTGGCTCACAAACATCTGTAACTCCAGTTCCAGAGAATCTAACACTCTCTTCTAGCCTCTGAAGGCAAGCATGTGGGGCACAGACACACATGGAAGCAAAACACCCACACACATAAAAGAAACTAATTTTCAAAAAGAAAAATGTCTATGAGAGATCATATTCAAAATAAGGTGCACACCAATCACTGCTGGTGGGAACAGTAATCAGTATTTTTGGCAGTATTTATATCACATTCCATGACATTGCAATTCTCTACAGGAAATCTGAATTTAAGATAAAAACTCCCAACAACTGGGCACTGGGAGTCTCAGCACTCAGCACTCGGGAGTCAGAGGCAGGAAGATCTCTGTGAGTTTGAGGCCAGCCTGGTCTTCAAGCGAGATCCAGGACAGCCAGCGGTTACACAGAGAAACACAAACTCCCACAGTCACCTCTAGAAAGACAACAAGAGAACGAAGGAGGCAGACAGCCTGTCACTATGTACCGCCTGCCCTCCCCGCCATCACACAGCTATACTCACCAGAATTTTCTCAGCTTTGGCTTCACTAATTCCCTTAATATTTATTAGTTCCTTCTTTGGTGCATAAGCAACAGCCTCCACCGTATGGAAACCAGCTTCTTCTAATTTCTTCACATCATTGGCATTTACGCCACATTGCTGTAAGAAAACAACAGATGAACATGGACATTACACTTTAGAGAACTATTTGAAGATCACTAATATATGCAGAACCTCTAAAAAGCTTGTCTACATAAGAGTTATTAAATAACAAATTATCAACTTTTTCATTATCAAAACTAATAGTTTTGGGCTGGGGAGATAGTGAGATATAGTAGTGTTTGCTATTACCCTGAGGAGGTTGAGACAGGTGGATCCCTGAGACTCACTAGCCAGCCAGTCTAGCCTAACCAGTGAACTCCAAGCCAAAAAGCGTGTCTCAAAAAAAAAGAAAAAAGAAAAAAAAAAAAAGGTAGATAGCTCCTGAGGAATACTGAGGTTGACCTCTGGCTCCCACATGCATATGTACTAGGACACACACAAATTTTAAACTAGAACTATGTTAATACATAAAAATGGACTTAGAAATTGAGATTAAACTAGTAGCAGGGCATGGTGGTGAACACCTTTAATCCTAGCACATGGGAGGCAGAGGCAGGCAGATTTCTGAGTTCCAGGACAGCTTGGGCTACATAGAGAAGCCCCGCCTCAAAAAAAAAAAAAAAAAAAATCAAAATAACTTTAAACCAGCGTTTTCTAATGCTTCTCACATCAGACATACAGACATTGTTATTTCTCAATGCTAGGACAGACAGATAAGACTGCCCCCAGAGTAAGAGCTACCTTGGCATAGCAATATCCTTTTGGAAGAACAAGGACTGGAAAGCTCTGCTCTAACGACTGACATTATGGATGGAGAAAATGGGAGGCTGGAGAGATGGCTTAGCAGTTAAGAGCACTGGCTGGCTCACAGAGGACCAGGGTAGGGTCCCAGTATCTACAAGGCAGCTCACAACCATCACTAAAGCCAATTGAAGGGGATTGGACACCCTCTTCTGACCCGTGCACGTACTGCATGTAAGTGATATACAAGAAAGCAAAACACTCATACATATAAAACAAGAAATAAAACAAAAGTGAGGTGGCTCCGTGGGTGTGAGTGATTGCCCTTAAGTCTGATGATCCAAGCTAGATCCTACGGTGGAAAGTTGTCCTATGACCTTTACAGGTGTGCTGTAACACATATGCACCCACAATAAACAAACAGAATAATAAGCAAAAATTTTAAATGGGGAAAATGGTAGGGAAGGGTGTTATGGAAATCCTGTAATCTGTCAGCTAACCAATAGAAAGGAGCGTTTGGGTCAGAGAAGCGGAGAATGGAGCAGATGACTCATTTGGATATCCCACTCTGTCTTGTGATAACTGTGCACAGATCTTGTTTGATAATAAATGGTAAAGCAATCTTTTGACTTCTTCAGAAGGGCTCATTAGGCCTCAATCCCTACCTCACCAGAGCTATTTGTAGTTAATGGTTACTAGGGCAAGGGGGAGACATTTTCTTCAGCAACATAGCCACTGATAATTGCCTTTATTCTTGTAAATAACCCCTGCCCAAGCTCATGTAAACAACTCTAATTAAACTTACTGGGTCAACAAAACAAGCTAAAATATATGAAAGAAGGGGGACTGGCTGTGAAGAGAAAGGGAATCAGAAGGAGGGTGACAAATGAGGCTAATAGAGGTGACTATGGTCAGAATACATTATACAGATGCAGAAAACATCGTAACAAAATCCATTACTATGTATACTTAACATATGCTAATTAAAAATTTGTTTAATTTAAGGGGGCTATGGGAAATAGGCATGGTAGCATATACCTCAGCTACACAACGACTTTGGGACCAGCCTGGGTTCCGAGCACCTACATGGTGGCTCACAACTGCCAGGAATTCCAGTTCAGGAGGATCTGAAGCCCACTTCTTCTTTTTGTTTGTTTTTTTGAGACAAGGTTTCCCTGCGTAGTTTTGGAGCCTGTCCTGAGATGCACCTGCCTCTGCTGGGATTAAAGGCGTGTGCCACCACCGCCCAGCCTGAAGCCCACTTCTGACATCTATGGGCATTAGACACATAAGTGGTACACACACTCATGAAAGCTAATCACTTACATACATAAAATAATAAATCTAAAAAACAAAACACAAAAACAGGTATGCTGATATATGCCTATAATCCCAACACTTGGGAAGTAAAATTAGGAGGATCAGGAATCAAGGTTATCCTCAGCTACACAGTGAACTCAAGGCCATGCTAGTCTACATAAGACCCTGTCTCAAAATTAAAATAGCTAGTCTGAAGGATCAAGCTCATTGGTATAATATTTGCTGTCTTAGTTTGCTTTTTATTGCTGTGACAAACACTTTGACCAAAACCAACTTGAGGATCAAGTGTTTATTTCACTTTACAACACACAATCTGTCCAGAAGGGAAGACAGGACATGAATCAACACACAGACCATGGAGGAACACTGCTTACTGGCTTGTACCTAATGGCTTCCTCAATTTGCTTTTGTATAGAACCCAGGACCTTCTGCCCAGGGGTGATACCACCCACATGCTCTTCCATACCAACCATTAAGAAAATGCCCCACAGACTTGGCTACTGGCATTTTCTCATTTGAGGTTTCCTCTTCCCAGATGACTCTACGTTGTGTCAGGTTGATTAAAAACTAACCGCACATTTGCCTTGAATACCAGAGGGCCCCAGGTTCAAAGCCTAGGACCACTAAAAAGCAAAAACAAAAGCATTAAAAACATTATGGGGGATAGGGGTCTGCAGAGGTAGCTCAGTGGTTAAAAGCATTTGTTGCTCTTGCAGAGGACTTAAGTTCAGTATCCAGAACCCACCTGGCAGTTCACACTACCTGTTAACTCCAGTTCCTGGGGATCTCATGACCGATTCTGGCTTCTACAAACACCAGGCATTCACATGGTGGATATACATACATGCAGGCAAAACACTCACACATAATGTCTTAGGGTTACTATTGCTGTGATAAACATGATGGTCAAAGCCACTTCGGGAGGAAAGGGTTTATTTGGCTTACACTTCACATCATTGTTCATCACGGAAGAAAATCAGGATAGGAACTCAAACAGGGGCAGGAACCTGGAGGAAGGAACTGATGCAGAGGCCATGGAGAAGTGCTACTTAATTGGCTTGCTCTCCATTCCTTGCTCAACCTGTGCTCTTAATGAACTCAGGACCACCAGCCCAGAGATAGGCCCATCCACAATGGACTGGGCCCTCCCACATCAATCTCTTAAGAAAATGCTTTACAAGCTTGCCTGCAGCTTGATTTTATGGAGGCATTTTCTCAATTAAAGTTCTCTCCTCTCAGATGTTTATTGATGTGTTAAGTCAACATAAAACTAGCTAGCACAAACATTAACTAAAAATAAAGAAATCCAGGGCGAGGGGAGGATTCTCCCAGGAGGCAGAGGCAGGTGAGTTCCAGGCCAGCTAAGGCCACACAGTAAGACCCTGTCTCAAAAAAACAAAATAAATCTCAGGAGGAAGAGAAAGGTGCATCTCTGTGAGTTTAAGACTATATAGTGGGATCCAGGTAGAGACTGTTTCAAAAGAAAAATATTAAAAAGAGCAGGACAAAAATACCCCAATAAGATGCATCAAATAATCGACACAATACAACCTGTTAGAGATAACAATAATTTTGTGTGTTTATAATGAAGAGCTAGGAATTAAAATTGTTTAGCTAGTACCATTTCCTTCAATAAACCTTCATTTCAATATTAAACTTTGTGCAGAACTAGCCCCAGTGTCTTTAAAAGCCCTATTTAAAAAATTACTTGGTGGAAATTTATTTCATCTTCCTATTAAAAATGTAATAGATCAATCTAAACAAAACATTATGGGGGCTGGAGAGATGGGTCAATGGTTGAGAGTGCTTGTTGTTCTTGTAGAGAACTGGAATTCAGTTCCGCACCCATGTCTGGTGGCTCACAACCCCTCGAACTCCAGTTCCAATAGATCTGACACCCTCTTCTGTCCTCCTTGGGTATGAGCATCTATGTGTGCTTATATGAAAACACACAAATAATCAAAGGATATGACCATGACCTCTGAAGGCTGATCACAAACCCAGTAAGTAAAGAAGAAGGAGAGAAGCAGTGCCACAAAGTTTGAGAAATGGTCTCATGCAGCCCAACCCAGATATGGAACAAAGGATAACCTGAACTCCTGACTCTGCTCCACCACGGAAGCGAGTGCCACCAAGCTCAGATCATTTAATTAGTTCCCAGAGTCTTGAAGTTTGGGAAGACTGGAAAATTATATAAACTGAGACAGAAGATTGAGGTGTTCCCTCCCACTGGGGCCTTTGTACAACCTGCAGAAATATTGTAGATTTAGTACCAGATATTCTTTGTTTTGCTTTTTTTTGTGTGTGGTATATGTGCATGTGCTCATGTGTGTGTAAGTTTGAGTGCACAGAGGCCAGAGGATGATTTTGAGAGTCTGCCTCAGTCATTTTAACATTATTGTTTGGGACAGGGTCTCTTACTACACCTTATTCTCACAGATTGGCTAGACTGGCTGGCCAAAAAGCCCCAATGATCCTCTTGTCTCTACCTCCTCAGTGCTAAGATTACAGGCATATGCCACTCTGCCTGGCTTGTATGGGTGCTGGGGATCCAAACTCAGGTCTTCATTGTTTGCACGACATTGACTGTACCCGCAGAGCATCTCTCCAAGCTTTTTGTTTGTTCTGCTGCTTTTCTGTGGCTTGTGTTTGAGACAGGTCTCACTATGTAGCTGTTGTTGTCTTGGAACTTGCTATAGAGACCAGGTTGGCCTCCAACAGAGATTCTCCTGCCTCAGCTTTCCAACTCCTAGAATTGTGGGTGTGAGCCACCACACCGAGCTAATACTTAGTATTCTTTTTTTTTTTTTTTTGCTTTTTCGAGACAGGGTTTCTCTGTGTAGCTTTGCGCCTTTCCTGGAACTAGCTTTGGAGACCAGGCTGGCCTCGAACTCACGGAGACCCGCCTGACTCTGCCTCCCGAGTGCTGGGATTAAAGGCGTGCGCCACCACCGCCCGGCCATACTTAGTATTCTTAATGTTAAGTCCTAAAGTAGAGCTGGGTCTTATATCTTAACAATCGCACACCCTTCAAGCTGCCTTACAACAGCCTTCTCAGTAGTATCTTCCACCTGGGCCAGTGGAGAGAAGTTGTTTCCCTTCCTACATGAGTTCCTGGGTTACACCACTAATTCCCTCATCGGCATTTCTATACTTAGTATAAGTAGCACTGGGATTCCACCATGGGATCCACCTTCATTTCTAAAGTTTAGCTCTTAGGGAGAAAACAGAGTAGGAAGAGAATTGTCAAAAGAGACTTGACCAGACAAGTCATAATACAAATCTTTATAACAATCCTGTTATTACAAGTCTTAATAACAAACCTGTGCTTTTCTGTAGAAACTGACAACCTCCTGAAACCCCAATCTAATTTCTGTAAAAGTTAATTTGTTCCATTACATAGAAGAATGTATTACAGCATTGTAAATAAATACTTAGCAACTAAGAACATACCTCTAACCGTGAAATAGGTTGTGGACCGAAGCTTTCTTCTTCCACTGAAGTATCTGCATTTGCATCAAGCTGCATCTGCATAGCCATTACTAAAAAATACAGAGAGTATTTTTTTCAATCAGTTCAGTCAGTATGAATCAACACTAGAGAAATACTCTTGGGTGATAAAGAATTGTACGTTTAGTTTTCCAACAAACCTTTGAAGAATTATAGCCAGCCCTCCCTACCCACAGATGAAGAGCAATTGCTACTCTTGAAGAGGATCCAGGTTCAGCTCTCAGCACCCATAACTGTCTTTAACTCCAGTTCCAGGAGACCCAATAGCCTCTTGTGACCATGCAGGCATTGGACATGAATGTTATGCTTACAGACATAGAGGCAAAACACTCATACACATAAAAAAGTCAGGCATATCTAATCTACAGCTCTGAGCTGCATGCAGCCAATGACAGTTTATTTAAACAGATCTTTAAAAAAAGATATATCTTTACAAGGCAGCAAGTTCCAAGCCTTCTCATACTACATAGTGAGTAGAATTTCAAAACACAAAATATTTTCTTCTTTACTATTAATTTTATTTATTTTCATGTGCATTGGTGTTTTGCCTTCATGTACATCTGTGTGAGAGTGTCAGATCCCCAAGAACTGGAGCTACAGGCAGTTATGAGCTGGGAATTGAACCTGGATCCTTTGGAAAAGCAGCCAGTTCTCTTAAAAACTGAGCCATCTCTCCCCAGCCCAGAATATTTTTATCTTCTTAGAATGATACATAAAGCAACAACATGGGTGGCGGCGCACGCCTTTAATCCCAGCACTGGGAGGCAGAGCCAGGCGGATTTATGTGAGTTCAAGGCCAACCTGGTCTACAGAGTGAGATCCAGGAAAGGTGCAAAACTACACAGAGAAACCCTTTTTAAAAATAAAGAAAGAAAGTCAAGGTCATATATAGCAAGTTTGAGGATTACCTATAACCCCGCCTCAATAAATAGATAAAAATAAAACTTCTACCCATGAAAGACATCAAGAACATGAAAAATCAAATCATAACAGGAGAAAAATATCTGCCACATACATAATCAGAGGTGGATAATCACAATACAAAAATAAAGAACTTGTTCAAATAACAAAAAAAGGACAACAGAAATCAGATAATTAAAGAGGAAGGTATCTCTACAACAAAAACATGAACCAACATGCAAGCTCTTTGTAACCAAGACAATTAGAACCACAAGAGGAGAAAAAAACCGGTATGGTGGCTGATGCCTGCCACAAGTTCAAAGACAGACTGGGCTGAATAATAAGACTACTTCCAAAAGAAGCTTCCACACCCACTCCAGAGTTCGTAAGATAGTACTATACACCCATCATAAAATAGCAAGTGAGTGGGGATGGGGATTTAGCTCAGTGGTAGAGCGCCAAGGCCCTGGGTTCCGTCCTCAGCTCCGGAAGGAAAAAAGTAAGTGAGGGCAAGCATGTGGAACAATTCAACATTCACCACTACTGGCATATTTACCTGAAATTTAAAAACAGGCAAAGATGCACTAGGGAAGCAGAATCAGCAAAGTGAGTTCAAGGTCAGCCTGGGTTAAGATCCTAAATGAGGACTGGAGAGATGGCTCAGAGGTTAAGAGCACTGACTGCTCTTCCAGAGGTCCTGAGTTCAATTCCCAGCAACCACATGATGGCTCACAACCATCTGTAATGAGATCTGGTGCCCTCTTCTGGCCTGCTGTATACATAATAAAATAAATAAAATCTTAAAAAAAAAAAAATCCTAAAACAGAAAAAATAAAAGGGCTGGAGAGATGGCTCAGCAGTTAAGAGCATTGGCAGCTCTTCCAGAGGTCCTAAATTCAGTTCTCAGCAACCACATGGTGGCTCACAACCATCTATAATGGGATCTGATGCTCTAGTCTGGCATAAAGGTTTACATGCAGATAGAGCACCATATACATAAATAAATCTTAAAAATCCCAGCACTATTAGGCCATTTTGTGCCAAGAAGACAAACTTCCAAATGGAAATGTCTTAGAAACCCAACATTCTCTCGGGATCAAATTGGTGCTGTCAGGAGCAATTGTGTCTCAAGTCAACAGAACTGTAACTCAAGTATCTGACATGCAGGCAAAGCACCATAAAATAAAAGTAAATCTAAGTTTTTTTTTGTTTAAGGAAGTATTTAGCCTTCATGGTGGCAGTCTCCTGTAGCCCAGCACCTAGGGGGCAGACAGTAGGATTCAGAGTTCCAGACCAGTTTCTGGGTTACAAAGTCAGACCCTGCCTAAATAATGTTTTCTAAAAATAGGCCAAGTTAGTGAGCAGTGTTAGGAATCACTGTTTAGTCATTAGGGTGAGGGGGAAATATCAGATAAGAAAGGATAACAGAGGTTTTTAGGGTGATGACAACATTTGATTTCTTTTACTTGATTACACAGATATATTCATTTTGTAATAATTCATGTATGCACTCATTTGTGGTTTTTGTATTTTATACTTCACTTTATTACTATTTTTTAAAAGTTCTTTTCAGATTTTTTTTTTTTTTTTTTTTTTCGAGACAGGGTTTCTCTGTGTAGCTTTGCACCTTTCCTGGAACTCACTTGGTAGCCCAGGCTGGCCTCGAACTCA